TAGTGAAGATGGTACATGTGTGAGGAAGCAGTCATGTGAGACCAGCTTAAGTCATCAGCTCTGGCTTACAACCAGATACTGCAGCTGAAGATCTATGCATATATCGTGTCAGGATGAGGCCTCGAGACCCAGTCCCAGCCTCTCTGCCCCCTTTTATCCTGCCCTTGAGATCCCTGGAAGTGGCAGGATTTCAGGGCTACCTGGATTGTAAAGGCATCCTCAGACCTCAATCATACCTCCTTCCCATCGCGTAAGGGGGGAGCCTCGGTGTCACTCTGAGATCAGCTCCCCTCCCTGCCTTGCTCCCATCTGTTGCTAAAGGAAATGGTTTGGGTGAAGGAAGACATGGCTGGGTCTTGAGCTATCTGAAAAGATAGGGGTGCCTCTGACTTGTGGGGCAAAGAGAAATTTCCTGGGGATACATACACCATGGTAGAAGATAGAAGTGGGCTAGTATTGTTCCCATCCAAGGCATCTACTTCAGCATTCGCTAAGCGTTCCCTTATCATCCCATCATCATCATCATTGTTGTCATCATCATCATCATTGTTAAACTCTCAGGCACTTCTGAATCCACTCTTATGCCTGTCAGGGGCCAGGCTCATGTAGCTCCTGGAGTCAGACTGTCACATCCTCAGATAACACTTAATAAGAACTGTCTACATGGCACAGACGACATTTAATTTTTCCTGCCCTTCCTTCAGTAGCAAGGCAATGCATTCTAAGCAGAGGCCTAGTTGCTTCCATTTCTTGAGAGACCACAATGGACCAGCCCTGTGCTAGTCATTCATACACAGAACCTACCTGGGAAAGGCAGGTCTTATTCTCTTGAATTTGCAAACTTCAGTTTCCTTATGCATCATATGTGGATAATAACACCTACACGATAGGGTGCCGTGAACATGAGAGACATGCAGGAAGTTCAGGCTTTGGGGGTAGTGATCCCGAGTCTGACCTCTAGCTTCACCACTAACTAGCTGCATGACCCTAGAGTTTCTTAATTTTCCAGCAGTTTGTTCCCTTGTCTGAAATAGGTAACAACGCTAATACCTATCAAATGATGTTGCTACAAGGATTAAAGGAGCTAATGCATTTAAAGAGCTTGGTACAGGGTGTTCGTCATACAATAAGCTCTTGAAAATAACAGCTGTAGAGATTTTTATTTGAATCACTATTATTGAAGGATCTGGAAGAGGAAGAAGTGTCAGCAAAAGAGATGGAGAAATGGGCACCAAAAAGGTCAGGGAGGGGGGAGCAGTGAGAGAGGGGTGTCATGGAAACAGAGGGAAAACTGTCAGGAAGTGGGGAGGTAAAGCAAAAGGGCACTCAGAGGCCAGTTTCCCCTGACAAGACAAAACAGTGATTTCCATCTCTTAGCAACCGATGAGAATGAAAGCAGAACCGGAAAAAAAAAAGCACATATCTTTAAATGAAGGATACCCGACATAAAATTCTCTAAAAGCCTTCTTTGGCTAACCCCATTTATCTGATCTGAATTTCCAGGTATCCAATTAAGGAGAATACATATTTCTCAAGTAAAGGAAAAGCCATTGTCATACAAAGTGAAATAAAAAAGAAATGCCAGCCTACATCAGGCTAGTGAAATAAAAATTTAGATTAGTTCAAATTTACACAACAGAGAAGAGGGTAGGAGGAGGGAAACAAAAGGGAGTGAATCACAGAACAGGTTTCCAAGGCAGTGGTCTATACTAAATGCCCAAGCCCACTCTATTGAAAAGGAGGCTGGTGGTATGGACAGAATTTATTCTTGTTTTTTTTTTCTTTTCATTTTTCTACTCCACTTGGGAATGGAAATTACAGCAGCATAGTCTGTGTCTTTGGGCAAATCATTCAACAAGTGTTTATAGAGTAAAGCTGAGAAAAGGTGAGCAGGAAATGGAATGATATTCTAATCTGAACTAGATGAGAAGGGTAGATACCCACAAGGGTAGATCTAGGAAGGGCAGGGAGGAATTAAGGGTTAAAATCTATGCAAGCTGGGGAATGTTGGGGACCTCTGTGGCTTTGGGGGCCCAAGTGGGCTGCCTTCTGTCTAGGAGTGCAGGAGGGGTTCCTTTTGGCTCTGGAGAGATTGAGGTTGCTGCCAGAGACCCAGAGATGCCCCAGAGAGATGAAAGGAGTATTCCTCTTGAGTCTTGGCTCCTGACCCAGTTCTTGACTAAATGGTCAGAGGCAGAAGGGCCTTCCCAGACTCCTTTGTGGGTTTTTTCTTTTTCTTTTTTTTAGTTGGAATCTCACTCCACTGCCCAGGCTGGAGTGCAGTGGCACGCTCACCACCACCCTAGCGTCAACCTGCTGTGCTCCGGCTATCCTTCCACCCCAGCCTTCCAAGTAGCTGTAGCTACAGGTACGCGCTACTACACTTGGCTAATTTTTTGATTTATAGTAGAGACGAAGTCTCACCATGTTTCCCCAGGCTGGTCTCAAACCCGCAGGCTCAGGCAATCCTTTCGCTTCGGCTTCCTGAAGTGCTGGGATTATAAACTTGAGCCACTGTGACCGGCCTTCTTTGTATTTTAAGAGATGGAATCTTACTCTGTCACCCAGGCTGGAGTGCCGTGGTGCAGTCATGGTTCACTGCAGCCTCGACCTCTTGGGCTCAAGTGATTTTTTCACTTCAGCCTCCTGAGTAGCTGAGACTATAGGTGCATGCCACCATATCTGGCTAATTTATTTTATTTATTTATTTTTTGTAGAGACAAGCTCTCACTTTGTTGACCAGAATGCCTCCCAGACTCCTGACCATGAGGGCTAAGGAGACTGAGGCTCCTTAGCCATTGAATGCTGGGGGCGGAGGAAGGATGTGACGGATGATGGGCAGCACACAGGAGGCTAAGCCTCCACACCCTCCACAAAGAGCTGAGTGTGGCTCTAGGGCAGCGATGGAGTAATGGTTGTAAGGACGGATTGTGAGGTCATGAGCAGGAGCAAGAAGCCAGGGAGGAGTTGAGGGGCTATATCTGGAAAGAGAAGCATTTCAAGCCAGGTTCTAGCCTTGGCAGCCCATGAAGGTTTCTTGTAGCTCCTGGCTACCACCCCTCCCTTGGGGCCTCAGCATGAACCCCCTTTGTTCCTACTGAGTGGGCCATCAACTGCTAGCATAATTAGAATCCTAATGCTCCTCCCTGGAACCTTCAGCCTGAGCCATCCCTGGTACAACTCAGCCCAGAGCTCTGTATGAAACCCTAGGGTCAGTGATTCCTCCCAGGCTCCCTATCCCAGTCAATCCAGATGAGTCCCCCCTAGTCACAGGGTGCTCCCCATCTCCCCTACCCATCTAGCTGTGTGCTTCTCCCCAACACATCAGCTCTCCCTCCTGCATCCTCTGTCCCTTCAACTCTACGGGGACCTAGTTCCTGCATGGTAGACACTCTGAGGGTCTCAGAACTGCATGTCCATTTCACTCTCCAACCCTGCTTTAAGTGCAATCATCCCCCAATCTAGCCCCAGTCTTGCCTTGCTCACAAAATTGGGGACTATAAGAAACAGGGGGCCAGGCATGGTGGCTCATGCCTGTAATTCCAGCACTTTGGGAGACCGAGGCAAGAGGATTGATTGAACCCAGGAGTTCAAGACCAGCCTGGGCAACGCCTCGACAAAAAAATAAAAAAAATGAGCCAGGTGTGGTGGCAGATACCTATAGTCCCAATTACTCAGGAGGCTAAAGCAGAAGCATCGCCTGAGCCCAGGAGGTGAAAGCTGCAGTGAGCCACGATTCATGCTACTGCACTCCAGCCTGGGTGACAGAGTGAGACCCTGACTCAAACAAATAAATAAAAACCTAGGGAACTTCAGGGTCTGAGATCACACATGCCCTTTTTTATCGCCCTCCAAGATGAGGCCAGGAGATAGGACTGGGCGGTTTCCGAGGGAAGGTCCCTCTCTTCTCACCCTCCCTCACGAATGTGCTCTCCTCTGCTAAAATACGACGTCCTGGCTTTCCAGTTGCCATATTCCTTCATGTGCTCTGGCAACTAGATTGTTTTCCATCCCTTCCCATGAAGGGACTAAAGTAGAATTAGCTTGAGACCTTGGATGCCTGTGTCCTCTGGCATGTAGCTTTAGAGTTTACAGGGTGAGGCCTGGGAGCCTTAAGGAGCTGGATCTACTGATGCTCAGCTCCTATGAGTAGCTGCTCTCTCCTTTCCTCAAGGGGGACAGGCAGAGGGTGGTGTTGGCTCACAGGAGAGATTCCTTGTGGTGACCAGGATGTTGCCCAAAAGCAACAGGGGCAATCTAAAGAATCCACCCAGAGGAGGGAGAATTGCCCATTCCTAAAGTGAACAGGAATGGAGTCCCTAGAATCCCTTATTGGGTTATTATCTCAGTACCAGACTCCCCCACCATTAGACTCCTGGATACATCAGAGAAGGAAGCATTGCAGTTCAGTCAACCAGGACATGCCATAATTTGGTCCTAGTCAGTTGTGGTAAAGGAGCTCTGTCCCTTTAACTTTGGGAAATATTTTGACTCGTTTCTTCTTCCTTTTTCTTCATCTGCAAAATGAGGTTGATAAAAACCTCCACCACCCCCTTTGTAGCTTTTGAGTATGTATTGCAGCAGCCCCAAATCTGAAGAAATCACCCGGAGGACAGGTTGGTAAAGGTATGGGTTTATTAATACTTACAGCAGGGAACCGATGACAGCCGATCAGTACAAAGCTCTCTACACCCCAATAGATGTGGGGAGAGGTTATATATGGGATGGAGGAGTGTGACCCAAACAATAGCATGAATACCCCCAGTAGGGAAAGTGTGAAACACAAACAATAATATGATATGCAGAGAAGCAGGAACCAGGATGCTTGCCTGCACCTTGAGTACACACGGCCTTGGCCAGGGATCATCTTCCCAGTCAGGGAGCAGTCATCAGGGGAGGAAGAGTGGGGAATATGTATTTTCCCCACAATATATTTTTCTATTTTTCTTATTTCTTTTCCCTTTATTTCTTCCTAAAATAATGCCACAGAGACATTAAAATAAATGCTGATATATATATTTATTGACATAGAAAGAAGCCCACAACATATATTGTCTGGTGAAAAAATACAGCATATAGAACAGCACTTATATTTTATCACTTTTATCTAGGTACATAGATGTAGGGAAAAATCTAGAAGGGCATTGATCAAAGGGTTGACAAGGGTGGATAATTTGGGGTAATTTATACCTTACTTTTTGTACGTTTCTTTATTTTTTGAAGAGTTCACGATTGATTATGCCACTTTCACGAAGAGAATAAAGCCACCAAGGAAATGGGCACACACAAAAAATAGGCCCTTAGGCAGCGGGAAGAGGAAGCAAGGACAGAGGTCAGGCTATCTCCCTCCATGGTGCTAGTTGCTAAGACTATTTCTCCTCCACCCCAAAAGATAGCCACTTTGTGGATTGAATCATGCAATTAGAAGCCCCACCCCCACCCCCAGTTTTTGCATCACTGGACTCAATATAGGTAAGGACTCATTTAAGGCTGGGGGCCAGTGCCTTACTGCAGCTCAAAGGGGTCACTGTGCTCTCCAGGGGCCTCCTTTGCCCCCTCCTCCTCCGCATGTGTCAGCTCCTGCAGGGTGATGAGCAGATTCTCAAATACCTGGGCCTTGTGGCTCTCACTGGTTTCTTTGCAGTGGCCCTCCTCGCCACAGTATGAACAGCGGAGTGTGTATTTTCGCTTCTTGGCTCTGCGCATATCCCCCAGACCATCAAACTTATACTCAGAACCACCACTGGTGGAAGGAGACTCAGCCACGGAATCATTGGGGGAATCAATTACCAGCATTTCACCCTGAGGTCTGGCCCTGTCTCTGAGGGGAGGGTCCTGAGATTCCACCAGGATCACGTCCTCATCTGAGTCATCCAGGGTGTCATCTATCTCTATCACGTTGCAGTCAGCATCACTGATCGCTATCGGTGAAGAGCCCTGAAATGCCACGGGGCTGGCTGCCCTCTCTGCCATTAACTCAGATCTTTTGGGCCGCTTCCGTTGAATAAAATTGTTATCCCAATTCTCTTCCTCCCTTATTATCCTGATCAGCTGGAGGAAATTGGGAAGCCGCTCCTGCTCATTTGCATACATCCTGAGGAGATGCTTAAGCCTGAGGCGCAGGTCCCTATTCAGGTCAGCCCCCAAAAGGAGCTGTTGCAGGCGAGTCTGGTTTGCGTCTTTCTCAGCTACGATGCCTGCCTGAATCGCACTCTGCAGCTGCATCTCTAAACGGATCACATAAAGGGAGGTTTTCTCCCCTTGCGCCTGCAGGGTGTTAAAAAATTTACCATGGGCAGTCACACTGCTTTCAGGCTCCCCAAACACCAATTTCATGGCCCGCAAGAAATCTGCCACACTTAGGTTGGGGTTGGCCGCCTGAAGCAAACGCATGACCTCCCGGGCAGGGCCTCTAAGGGTTTTCATCAAGCGCTTGAGCTTTTCCTCCTCAGACATATTCCAATCTGGCAGGACCCCATTGACTTGGTTCAACCAGTTTTCAAAGGTTTCTTCCCCCTGTGCTGGCACCACCCTCCCCGAGAACAACTTCATGTTTCTCTCTGCTATGGTGGCCATTAAGGGACCGAGACTCCTCCCCAGGGACCTCAGCATGGAATGGACCCAAGGCGGCAAGGGTGCGTTCTGTCGCCGGTTGTTAGCCATATGTGCAATGAAGCTAGCCATGACTGATGACGATAGGGCGTCTGAATATAACAAGATGCTCAGGCTTTTCAGAATAGCCTAATCTGCAGCCGTGCAGGGAGGGAAGGGTGGCTCTGCCTTCCTCCTATCCCAGTAAACGTCTGTAAAAAAGAAGGGGGGGGCGGTGACTAAGGGAGCAGTTCGCAGCTGCAATCTCTCCCTACCTGGATATCCTGCAGTACATTTTATATATGCCCATTTTCCTAAAAACATCCTGCAAGAGATTGGTAGTTACAACCTCCTGGAGCTACCAGGTGTCTGCGTGCTAGAAGGTGTATTTTGCAGCCACATCCATCCCTTCGCATCACTCCTTCAAAGAGGGGTGACAACTGTTGCTTCGAATCCTACGTGCAACAGTGTATGAACCCCATACGGGGCTCTCAAAATACAGCACAATGGTCACAAACTTGTGGGGATAAAATAAGACCTCATTAATCTCACGGTCTCTAGTCTCACCACAGCCCCCCTTCTCAGATTCGTCCCCCCCCCCCACACACACGTGCCCGTTATTTCTGATTCTTACATGAGCTTGGAAACAAGAGTGCGCCTTTATTTCTACTCTATCCTGTGCAAACAATGCCCTTCTTGAGAATACTCGCCGCTGAGGTATGGTCAACCTCTGTCCACGGAGGGCGGGGGGGTCGCAGATCCGGGTCCTCGGGGTGTCAAGACTGCGCCACAGCGGAGGAGACCAGGGAGGGAAGGATCAGAAGCAGTTTCGCCCATCATCCTGCTAGCACCACCCCCACCTCCGTCACCAGGTGGAAAATTCCCTCTGCCCTCTTCTAAATACAAGCCAAAGCAAAACCCCCGCCCCATTACATTTCCCCCGGGGAACCGCCGGCCTACCAGCTCTGCAATCAACCGCACAGAATTCAAGTTCAGATTCGGCTCTGATGGTCTGCTACGGAGAAAGGGAAAAGGAGTTGGACACACCCACCCACATCTTCCCACAGAGATGGGGAGACGCAAAAGGGGGTCCAAGGCAGACAACTTGCGATTTCTCTTCCCGCCGCCCCTCGCCTCAGTCCCCGATCCCCCGCAAATGCGGGCAAATGCAACCCAGTCCTCAGCAGCCAGGTGAATCCCACCTCCTCCCACAGAGCAGCCAGACCACGGGAGTGCTCCTTCGCCTGCCTCGCAGGTACCGATTCTCCAAGCGGGGAGTCGCCCAGCATTGGTGGGGTTTCTCACTCCCCTCTTCTCTTCTCCCCTCCTCACGCCGGGTCCTCGCGCCCCCTTTCTTTACCTGCACTCTGCCAGTGGGCAGCGAATGCTCCCGCGTCCACCGTTGTGGATTCCACCTTCGAGTCTCCGCGGCCCTGCAGGGAAAAGGACAGAACGGGAGCTTTCTGGGCCGCTGAGCGACCCAGGCTGCCCGACCGAGCTGCTTCGCACGGCCACCCAGCCAGGGGTAGCCGAGGCGAGGCAAGGCAGAGCGGTTCCCAAGGCAGCAGCCGCGGCTTTTATCCTCTGCCCGCTGACACAAAAGAGAGTGACAAGCGGGCCAGTGCGGCCAATCAGCGGAGCGCGGGGGCGGGCTCCCCTCACAGCCTTGGAGAATGTTCGCGAGGGCGCGGGGGCGCAGCAGGCGCGCGAGACATCTAGTGAACCTCGGTTAGGCTGACCGAGTTGATTCACCTATTACCAAGGAGTTTGAGACTTTCTCCCGCCCCCACCCTCTTCCCTTCTTCCACTCCTTTCTCCCTTGGCTCAACTGCGCATCTTGGGCCACATGCATTAAACACGAGGTGGGGCCAGAATCAGGTGAACAGTGAAAGTTCCTCACCTTTGTATAGGATGAGGGGGAGAGCATCAGCACTTTCTTTGTGCAAATAGGCTTGCACAGACATCTCTTTTATTGTGAAAGTGGTGGCAGTATGTCCGTTTAACAGAGAGGGGAGTTGGAGCACCATGGCACCAAGACTCTTAACCAGTACTCGAGTATGGATGCGAGGTTGGCTGCAGTTGAATCGTTTGGGGGAGCAGTTTAGAAACGGAGATTCTTGGGCCTATCTCTGGGGTACTCTGATTTACTAGGACTAGGGGTTGGGATGTGGTTTTAAAAGTATTTTTAAGCAGCGCTGCAGTTGATTTTGAGGTATAGAGGGGTTTATGATAAGTAAATGCGCCTGTCTCCAGTGTATCTGTTCACAGTACATCTGCCGTGAAATGCAACTGCAGGGCAGATGTTCTTAGGTGGAGTCCATGATCTTCTTGAAATTATATGCAAAGATTTGGAAACATTCTGTATGAGGCTGAATGATAACCATCCAAATATATAAAGTCCTAATCCCTGAAACCTGTAAATGTTACCTTACAAAGTAAAAGTGCCTTTGCAGTAGTAATTAAGTTAAGGAGCTTAACTTGATTATCTGGGCTGGCTGAAATCCAATTACAAGTGTCCATATAAGATAGAGGCAGGGAGAGAACTGATGATCACAGAACAGAAGGTGATGTGAAGACAGAGGCAGAGATTAGAGTGATGTGGCCATAAGCAAAGGAATGCCAGCAGCTACCAGAAATTGGAAGAGGCAAGGAATAGAGCACTGTCCTGCTGACACCTTGAATTCAGCCCAGAGAAACTGCTGTTAGACTTCTGACTTCCAGAACTAGAAGAAACTAAATTTCTTTTTTTCACCCACCAAGTTTGTGGTAATTTGTTATGGCAGTGTCTTAGTCCATTTGAGCTCCTATAACAAAATGCTATATAGACTGGGTGGTTTATAAACAATAGAAATGTATTGCTTACAGTTCTGGAGGTTGCCAAGTCCAAGATCAAGGTGCCAGCAGGTTTGGTTTCTCCTGAGACTTCTCTCCTTGGCTTGCACACAGCTGCCCTCTTGCCGACTCTTCACAAGGTCACCCCCTTTGCACATGTCCTTTGCACATGTGCACTTCTGGTGTCTCTAAGTGTGTCCAAATTTTCTCTTCTTATAAGGACACCTGTCAGATTGCGGCCCATCCTAAGAATCTCATTTTTAACTTAATCACCCCTTTAAAGGCCCTATCTGCAATACAATCACATTCTAATGTATTGTGGGATTAAGATTACAACATATGAATTTTGGGGAAACAGGATTCAGACTATAAGATTTTCCCTTACTTCTGGTTCTGTGAAAGCACATCATCCTTCCTTAATGTAAGGTATGGCTAGTAGGCTCCTTTGGGGCTTTTGAGGGGTCAAGGGTGGTGGTAGCATGCACTGCACAAGTAGACTGCCCAAGTGCAAAGGAGTTGCTCTTGCTTGTTCTTGACTCCTAATGCTTGGAAGTGAGTGAACAGTCTGATGCCATTCAGCTTCTGTTGGGCTCGTCATCAGCCTGCCAAAGTACTTCACCTGCTCCTTTCTGCTTTCTTATTTCCAACTTCGATACTTAGAATTCCTTGGAGTAAACAATCTAAGGTTTGAGACAAAGCACCTTCATCTCAGGATAATGGCCCTTCTCTTGTGGATGGAATAGTAGAGGGTGGAGGTGGAAGGTGGAGGGTTTTGGAGGTACATGGAAGGCAAGTCGCTCACCTTGCACAGTTAAGAGTGATTGTGGCAGTAGCTTATGGGTTTTCTTCAGACTCTTGCTTCTACTCCCCAATACTATGACACCTGACCTGGCCTCTAAGAAGAATCTTGTTCTGCGTTTAAACTGACTTCATCACCAGATCAGGTTGATCTGCAGTTGGACCTGATGGCATCAAATAAGACTAAGACTATACAAAAAATGTTGATTATGTAAAGATGCCTGGGCTGGGTCATCAGAACAAGGTGAGGCTCTCTCTTTTCATGTAGGACTGGGAAGAACAGGTGCTAAACTGGCTCCACTTGGATACAGAACATACCTTATCTTTGGTCTCATGTGGGAGAGGGGTTGGGGCGAGGAGGCTTTCCATTGCAAGAATTCAGGCTCTGATAGTTCAATGATGGCCACATTTTATTTTCCAATTGCAAACAAAATGAACCCCCCAAAACCTTAAAATCTCGATGGTTAAAAGCTAAAGCTTTCAACTGAAGCAACTACCTTTGGTTGCCTTCCTCCCCTGAGCCAGGAAGTTGTCATCCTTATCTCATAAGGATCTCGGCAATCCTGTTGAGGTGGGCATTGTTATCCCACCAAAGGAGCTAAAAGCATATGGGCACTTCACTCGAGGACTTTTGCTTATGGAAAACTATACAAAAAAATGCTTATTATGTGAGCCTGGATGGGGATACTTATGGGACACCCTGCCCATGTTAATCTGGCACTGTAAGGGCAGCATTGTTCACAAAGATTTTCAAAAAGAGAGGAAAATAAGTTATTTTTAGACAAACAAAACTAGAGTTTGTCACCAGCAGACCACACTAATGCAAACTCTGAAGGATGTACTTTAGGAAGAAAATGATCTTAAAAGAACTAAATGCAGAAAGGAAAGAAAAGCAAGGAAAGTGGTAGTACGTGGGCAATTTAAGTGAACATTGACGGAAGCAGAAATCATAAAAACGTCCATTCTGGTTTTTAAAAAATAATCTTAAAGTACCATATAACCAGAAAAGACATTAGGAGGACCATAAATGGAGTTTAACTTTTCTAAGGGTCTTGTATCCCATCAAAAGTGATTTAGGTATATATTAAATTTATAATTTGATAATTATGTATGCAGTAATTAATAGGATGTCATGATTTTAAAATAGCAACAGGATGTAAATTTCTAAAGTAGTAGAAGAGGAGAAAGTTGAATAAGCAACAAAAAATTATCAGTCTATTTTTTTAAGTCAAGAAAGAAGAGGTAAAAGAAACATAGCTGGGACAAATAAAAGCAAAAAATAAATGATAGCTTTAAACACAAATATATGAATAATTTTATTAAATGTGTATGAGCTACAACAGGAAAGACAAACAATTTTATTAAAAAGTGGGCATATCTTTTGCCCATTTTATAATAGGGTTGTTTGTTTTTTTTTTTTCTTTTCAGCACGTTTGAGTTCCTTGCACAATATCATAATAAAAAATATTGATTAAAAAAATTAAAAAGTGGGCAAAGGATCTGAGTAGAAATTTCTCAGAAGAAGATGTGCAAATGGTCAACAGATATATGAAAAAATGTTCAACATCAGTAATCATCAAGGTAATACGAATCAAAACCACAAAGAGATATCGTCTCACCCCAGATAGAATGGCTATTATAAAAAAAGACAAAAAATAAATGCTGGCAAGGATGTGGAGAAAAGGGAACTCATATACTGTTGATGGGAATGTAAATTAATTAGTACAGCCATTATGGGAAATAGTAGGGAGGTTTCTCAAAAAACTAAAAGTAAAAATAAAACTATCATATGATCCAGTAATCCAACTGCTGGATATTTAGCCAAGGGAAAATAAATTAGCATATCAAAAGGACACCTGTGTTTATTGAAGCACTATTTACTATAGCCAAGATATGGAATCTACCTAAGTGTTTATTGAAGCACTATTTACTATAGCCAAGATATGGAATCTACCTAAGTGTCAATCGACAGAGGAAAGGATAAAGAAAATGTGGTATATATACACAATGGAATACTATTCAGCCATAACAAAGAATAAAATCCTGTCATTTGCAGCAGTATGGATGGAACTGGAGGTCATTATGTTAAGTGAAATAAACCAGGCACAGAAAGACAGATATCACGTGTTTTCACTCATATGTGGAAGCTAATAAAAGTAAATCTCATGGAGGTAAGGAGTAGGATGATAGTTACCAGTGGCTAGGAAGGATTGGGAGGGAATGAAAAGAGATTAGTTAATGGGTACAAACATGCAGTTAGACAGAATATGTTTTAGTGTTCGATAACACAGTAGGGTGACTATAGTTAATATATTGTGTATTTTAAAATAGCTAGAAGAAAACATTTGAAATGTTCCCAACACAAAGAAATGATAAATGTTCTAGGTGATGAATATCCTAAATACCCTGATTTGATCATTACACATTGTATGCATGTATTAAAACATCACATGTACCCCATAAATATGCACAAATATTATGTACAATTTTTTTTTAGTTGGAGTCTCACTCCGTCACCCAGACTGGAGTGCAGTGACACGCTCCCAGCCACCGCAGCCTCGACCTGCTGGGCTCCAGCGATCCTTCCACCTCAGCCTTCCGAGTAGCTGGAACTACGGGCGCACACTACCATGCCCGGCTAATTTTTTGATTGATTGTAGAGATGAGGTCTCGCCAAGATGCCCAGGCGGGTCTATGTACAATTTCTTAAAAATTTAATTTAAAAATTTAAGATGTTTATGAGCTACATGCTCAAGCTAAAATAAAAATATGGTCAAATGGGATTAATAAATATGACTACATGCTGTTGAAAAACCAAAATATAAGAGTACAGTTATATTGATAGTAAAAAGATGAAAAATGATAAATTATGCAAATAATATATAACAAATAGAAAACTTGTATAGCTATAGTCA